ACAGATAAAGTTTACGTTTGGTTCCGCTCCATTGATTTTTGCCGAAATTACAGGCTTTGGACTTCGAAAATTAGTGAAAATAACAGTTGTACGGACTTTTTTTCTAAACGCCTTCACATATTTAGCTGGTTTTTAGTATGTGAGTCTACTATGATGAGTTACAGATCAATTTTACGTTTGGTTCTGCTACGCTGATTTTTTCTGAAATTACGGGCTTTGAACTTCCGACCTTTCCAAATACTAAATTTTCCCGAAAAAACTAAATACATATATTAATTCTATTCAGATCTTTGCAGGTACATATAAAATATTCAATCCCAAATTTTTTGTCAAAGTATTTTAGCCAGTATTTGGCAATTGCATTGCAACTTTGTGTTGGACTTTCTAAAATTCTATAAACTAATTTTATATGTTTGTTTTTTATGAAACTTTCCAAACTGATCATTTTCATCCCCCATAAGCTTTCATCTAGACAACATACTTTTCTGTCGACAAGGCTGACTTTAGAGCCCCAAACAAAATCCCAGAGAAGTTAGTTTATTTCTTTTTCACACCCATTAGGTATACCCCTCATCTCAACCTCGTATTCCAAAATTGGTATTAATTGTTTGTTGTCGAGCCTGCGACATTTATTTTGCAAAAGCGAGGCATATCAATCCTAGATTCCGTCGTCGGCGTCGACGTCAATATTTTATTAGTTCAGTCAATGGTTTAAGTTTTTTTAGACATCAATAACTTTGTCAAACCTTCATGGAATTTTATGAAATTTGGAAATAAGCTAGTTTATAACCAAAATACAGTATCCAGAGCAAAAATTTGAAAATATTAATTTTCGTTTTTCCGTATTTTACTGATAAATGGACTTAATTTTTTTACAGTTAAGAAGTAGGTATAGTCTGGCGTTAAAGTTTGTTACACATCAATTACTTTGTCAAACCTTCATAGAATGTTATGAAACTTTAGCAGAAGGTTTTTTATGATTAAGAGATAATGTCAGAAGCAAACTTTTGAAAAATTATTTTCATTTTCAGTATTTTTCTGATAGAAGCACTTAGTTTTTTATAGTTAACATTTACAGACAGTCTGGGATAAAAAAATTGACATGATAAATTTGTAAACCTTCATGGATTGTTATGAAACTTGGACAGAAGCTAATCTTCAAGACCAAGAAATAGAATCTAGAGAAAAAGTTTGATTTTTTTTTAATTCTGTATTTTACTGATAAATAGAATAACACTGGACACTTTTAATTTGCAAAACACTCATTTGCAAATCCG